AAATTCTGCATTCCATAAAATTTTACTTATATGGAATCTCAGGAAATATCTGGAGAGGGAGTTTTTTCAAATAGGAATTAAGAAACAAAATAAAACTGACATCTCTGGAAAAATCCCACTATTTATTACTCTCTGATGTAACTCCACATTAAATTATCTTATCATAGAAATACATTATATGAGTAGAAAATTACATACAAAAATAAGCTTTCTCCTACCAATTCCCTCCCTAGTTTTACTTCTCAGAAACAACTACATGTAAGTATTCCTATTCTTAAGTTTTTCTTCAAAATTATTCATAAATCTCCAAATAATATATTTAACCTCTATTTTTTGTTTATTGACTTTAGATTATTAGATTATTAACTTCTTTTTAAGATTCATTTAAGTTATACCATCATCTACACTCTATTCTTGACCTAATCCCAGTCTCACCCACAATTAACCCTAAATCTTACTTAGTACTACTCATTTAGGTAAGGGGAATTTCTTTAACTCAGTTCCACAAAATAATGGAGTTTAGGTAGAACTCAGTAGTACCATCAGTTCATGTGTCTTGGTTTAAAACTTTTGTTCCTTTTATGACAAAATGTAGAGCACTGACTTAGATAGAAATGTAAGACCTAAGGCAGAAGATACTCTCATAACCAGTAGAGGTCCTGGGACATGACTGGTTTTTCTTTTTTTAAAAAAAATCCTTAGTAATTATTACTACTGTGTCTTGGGGGAGGAGAATTGTTTTTAAACTGTGGTATTAGAGAAGAGTAGTGACTATCCCATGGACTGCCAAGAACAGATAGGTGTTAGAGAAGGTGCAGCCAGAGTCCTCCTTGGAGGTAGGGATAATCAAGCTTCATCTCACATATTTTGGTCACGTTGCTGGGAGAGGCCCTCTCTTGGGGAGGGGCATCATGCTTGGAAGGTGGAGGGATGGCAAAGGAGAGGAAGACTCTCCCTCAGCCAGGTGGATTGAAACAGTGGCTGCGGCAATGGGCTTGAGTGTGTCAGAGATTTTGAGGAAGGCACAAAATAGGACTTTATAGGAACACTAGGAGTCATACTTATCTCAGTGACACTTAACAGTAACCACTGTAAGATGAAATAAGTGACAGATTTAACCCTTTCTCCATCTAGCATGGTGTTGCCTATTGGTCCATTGTAAGGTCCTTTGTTTTCTTGATATTGAGATGTCATCCATATCAATGGCTGTAGCCTTTGATCCTCTGTAGCCAGAGTTCAGGTCTTCCTCACTTTCAGCAAGCAAGGTTATGTCATCTGCATAACATAGGTTGTTGATGAGTATTTCTATGATCCTTATGCCATATTCTTCTTTTCAGAGTCTGGCTTCATGAATTCTTTGCTCAGGATGCAGATTGAATATTGTTGTTATGTGCCGTCCAGTCACTTATGACTCATAGTGACCCTGTGTATAAGAGCCCTAAACCCTGCTCTATCTGTGCCAGCCTCACTATCTCTGACACACCTACTCCCATTACCCCAATCATTGAATCGATCCATCTCATCAATAAAGAAAAAGGACACATCTTTGTTGAAAACCTGGCCTGATTTTAAGCCGTGCAATCAGTGGTTTCTTGCGCCATTTAAACAATGGCTTCTTGATCTAGTTGCAGATTTTGCATGAGCACCTTAGCACTTCTGGGATTCCATGGTCAAGACCCTTGGTACAAGCAGTCAGGAGATGCATTGCTTCTGGCAAGTCCACTGTTAGGAACCTCTCTAAAATGCTAAACAGCAGTGATGTCAGTTTGAAGATCAAGGTATGCCTGACATAGGCCATGGTCTTTGTTTACTGGCTATGCTTCTGAGAGCTGGGCTTTGAATAAGGGTGACAGAACAATTGATACCTTTGAGTTGTGTGTTGGAGAAGAATACTGAATTTCCCATGGACTGCCAAAAGAACAAATAGATATTTGTTTTTAGAAAATATGCAATCAAAGTGCTCTTTGGAGGCCAGGATGGGGAAGCTTAGCCTCTCATACTTTGGGCATGTTGCTGGGAGAGGCTGTTCCTTGGAAAAGGATGCCATGCTTGGAAAGGTAGAGGATCATCAAAAGAAGAAGACCCCCCTCCCAATGAGATGGATTGTCACGGTGACTGCAGCAATGGGCTCAAGTGTATCAAAGATGATGAGGATGGCACAAGATAGGACAAGATTCAGGTCTGTTGTTCACAGGATTGCTTTGAGTTACAGTCACCTTGATGGGCACCTAACAGAATAACAACAACCACTGTATAAAGAAGCTCTGGTGGCCTAGAGGTGAGGAGTTGTGCTGCCAAACCACAGCATGAGGTTCAGATTCACCAGCTGCTTTGCAGGAGGAAGAAAAACGGAGATGTGTTTTATCCTGTGTGTTTTATAGCCATTGAAAACCTGCTGGAGGGTCAGCTATGAGTCAGTTCTTACTTGTAGTATATAACAACAACCACTACATCTAGACAATTTTTTTGGTAGTTTCATCTTTAAGTAGATGAATTCCTACTCCACATAATCAAAGCAGTTTTATAATGAACTTTCATTTGCCATCAAACATCCTTGTTATTTTTCCCATGCTGTTTCAGATAAAGAGCTGGAATCTCTACTGTGTTAACTAGTTCTTTCATTTGCAGTCTGGAGTCCTGGGACCCTTCTCCTCCAGGGTCTTCATCTACAAATATCCCACATAAAAAACAAGCAAACAAAACCCACAACTTTCTCCCCCCGCCCCTTTTTTTAAACACCACAACTTTCTTTTCTTCTCTTTTTTCAAACTAACCATTCTCTGGTTAATCCTTCTTAATTTTCATTTTACATTTCTCCCTCTTCAGATGTATGTATTCCCTGAGTGCTTAAGTACACTGCCTAGGAAATCTTATTCCCATGACTTCTCTTATCATTCTGAACCCTAGCCTTTGTCTGAAGTTCAGATGTTCCTTCTCATCTATCCATCAGCACAAAACAGCATATTCAAGCTTGTTAGTTACCACCAAGTTAACTCTGACTTATGTTGTTGTTGTTGTTAGGTGTCATCAAGTCAAGTACTACTCATGGTGATCCTATGAACAAACAACTCTGAAAGCTGTCCTATCCTGCGCCATCCTAATCATCTCTGAAACACATGAGCCCATTGCTGCAGTCACTGTGTCAACCCATTTCATTGAAGGTCTTCTCTTTTTTCTGACTCTCCACTTTTCCATGCATAGTACCCATTTCCAAGGAATTGCCTCTCCCAGCAACATGTCCAAAGTATGAGAGACTAAGATTTACCAGCTGTAAAAAGAGCAAGGTCCACATCAGGACAGCCATATATGACTTACCAATTTCACAAAGGAGAATTGCCCCTTTAAAAATATCAGTAACACAAATCCATTTCCTGTGAGACCAAACATGTCCCCAACATTCCTGTATTTTTTTCTACTCATCTCAACACCAGTATTACTACTTTATTGGATCTGTTGTAATACCTCATACAACTATATTGGGAAGTCAAAAGATTATAATCCAGATTAATAGCAGAATACATTCAGGACAGCTTCCAAAAAGTGCTTGCAGGCACCTCAGGTTTACGCTCTGAAGTTTAAGGCCAGTGTTACAAAGTTCTCAGTCCTGTGGATTATAGCTCCCTACCCCTAAGATGTTCAACAAACTTGGGCAAAGTCACTCTGCTCCAGTGCCAAAGATGTAGCACTCCCAAGGTCCGTCTCACATCAGGTCTCTCATTCTCCCTCTCATGTCAGTCCTCTGTTTCTCTGCTGTGGTTGCTATGGCTGTTGGTCCTGTAGGACAAGTAATATTCTCCTGCTTCTTCTTTTTCTTTGCTGGTGTGGAAAATTTCTTCTGCTACTGTTTGATTGCTCAATTTTAATGGTGAGACTAACTAATCCCCATGTGAATTGGTAGATAGCCAGTCTCCTTGTGGATAGGCTAACATGCCCTATTTGCATATTCATGCTCATTCACATGGTAAAGTCAAGTTCAATGGCTAAGAAAGCCATTTTGAATAATAAATTCCACTCCATCCTTGCCTCTAAGGAGCACTCTAGTTGCACATTTTCCAAGACATACCTGTTTGTTCTTTGACAGTCCAGGGAATATTCAGTACTCTTCTGCAGCACCATAGCTAAAAGTATCAATTTTTTTTCTGTCATCCTTATTGTCCAACTCTCAGATGCATAGCAGGTTATTTAAAAGATCATCCATGGCTTGAATCAGGTGCACCTTAGTCTTCAAACTGACATTATTGCTCTTCAGTATTTTGGAGAGGTCCCTGACAGCAGCCTGCCCAAAGCAATACATCTCCTTATCTCTTGACTGCTGGTAGCAATGAGGCTGATTGTGGATCCAAGTAAGATGAAGTCATTAACAGTTTCAGTCCTTTCTCCATCTATCACAATGTTGCCTATTAGCCCAGTGGCAAGGAACCTTGTTTTCTTAATGTGGAGATGTAATTAATATTGAAGGCTGTAGTCTTTGATGATCTTCTATAACAAGTACTTCTGGTGCTCCTCCTTTTCAGCCAGCAAAGTGATATCATCTGCACAGATGCCCCATAAAACAGAATGGAATGTTGACTCGCTTTGTGTCATCTTTGTGATCAAGTTTATTGTGGCAACCACTGTGTAAAAAGTAGAAGCTTCAGCGCTCCTCTTCCAGTACTATTTCAAACAATATTCTGGTTTATCCAAAGATGTCTGGGTAAAATATCTATATCTAAAGATAAAATATTCCAAACTTTATCCCCATCCACCTTTTTCTGAGAGATAACAACTGCCAATCAGTCAAACATAACATTTCTTTCCCAAGCTAATTGATCCATTTAATAGTTAACCTCTCACCCAGGGGTAAATTAGAAACATATATTTGGAAAGCTGAAAAACAAAAAAAGTTATTGGAGTCTATCAGGTTAGTTTCAAGTGCGTAAGCTCCTTTGGCTTTAGACCCCATGTTCTCCTCTAAATGCACCTGATTAATCCATCTTCTGCATTTTTCTGATTACTTGCAGGTCTGCAATTAAGGCTCTCCGTCCTGGTGGGTTCCTCGTTTACTCTACATGCACACTTTCCAAGGCAGAGAATCAAGATGTGATCAGTGAAATTTTAAACTCCTACAGTAATGTCATGCCTGTGGATATGAGGGGAATGGCAAGCATTTGTTCCCAAGACTTCACATTTGTTCCCACTGGCCAAGAATGTGGGCTCTTGGTAATTCCAAATAATGGCAAAGCCTGGGGCCCAATGTTTGTAGCCAAGTTGAAAAAACTGTGAACTGTGTGAAATTGACAACATATACTTTGTAAACCATTTTCCATATATTATTCCTTTTCATGGACTTTCTATATGTTAATATTTTAGTAATTATACTGTCAGATTTGAAAACTTATTTAGTATATACCTTCGTATCTCAGAATTAAGGCATGAGAATTTTACAAGTTTTGTTTTTTCTTTTTTGCTAAAAAAATATCTGTAGCAATGATTTAAGGTGATGCAGATGGTGTTTGTTCCATACAATAAATCTGCTATCTTTTGCTTAGCATTCTGTAGTTAAATTAATCAAAAGACATGGATTTTGTGCATAAAATGTTTTGAAATGTATTTTATCCCGTGAGAGATGGTTCTTTGAGCCTTTAAAAATAGACATTCGCTATCCCTCTTAGTATTTTCCTGATCAAATGAGCAGGTTCTTTTCAGGATTTCTCACTCCCTTTTTACCCCTCTGGAAGAACTGATTGGTATTCTGAAACTTAACTTCTTAAGCAGCACTGTTTCTTGTTCTAGCAAAATAAGGTTTCTAATTTGCCAAATTGTTTTCCACTAAGGACTGTCTTCTGTTTACTACAAAGGTCAGTGACTGTATTGACACCAGCTTTATTTCTTTTCCCCTCCTTTTTATTCATGCACAAATACTAATCAAAGAGTAAATTATATTGAAAGGCCATTAGAACAGCAGATTCACATGCACATGCTTAACTTTCACCATTCAACATGTACAGAAATGGAGTCTATCCAGCAGGCTATAAAGCAAGTACTTGAAACAAAACCAGAATGATTAATAACAGCAATAACTGAGCTATATTTGGAGAGTTTTGTTACATAATTGAAGTCATAATGAGCAGCACAGAATCTGATTATCTTATAGCTGCAATCTGGGGGGACTTTTTCCTTTCACTTGCTTATGAAATATTATATGAGAGTATGATGTCACATATTAATTCACAAAAAGGAGATACCTAAGGAGAGTGGATTATGTGATTAACAAACCCTAGTAGCCTTTCAGTACCACTTACTAAGTGCCTCTCCCTGTTTGCTTATATCCTGGGAATAACACACCCGCTTCTGTGTATGTACTTTGAGTTTTAGTGTCAGCTTGTCATCTTATGTTTTCCAAAAAATTGCTTCACTTAGAGTCCATATATGTTTTTCTAACTATTAAGAAAAACTATATAGTATATTCTAAAAGAGTACGCTTATTTGGAAATTAGCTTTTCAAATCTATCTGATGATAGAAATACAAAATTCTGGTAAAATCTAATCCTGCTGAATTGTTCATTGCACTTCATGCATTTAGTCATTAACTAGGGTTTTTTTGGTACATATTACATATGCCTCGGTTCATGTAACTGAGAAGTCTTAAAAACCTCTTTCCATAGGTTAATTTAATTGATTTTTTTCCCTCTATTATATCTCATTAGTAAAGCTAGAACCCATATACTCATTTTACTTATCAAATGCTGGGTTAATACTTAAAATTAATTACGATGATGAAAATGTTTTCCTCCCTAGGTTATGCATTGTGGCTTATTTTTTATTTTAAATTCCACATTAAGATACTGTATGTTTATAAAGTGGGGTTATTTAGTGTGTGCTAATCATAGAATTGCATGGATGTACTTTACTGAACATTTTTGAAGTAAAATACCATGAATATCTTAAAACCCACTACTTCTGTACTAAGCCTTCCTGTAATTACTGAGAAATGCAAATGTGTATTTATATCTGTATCTTTATAATGGCTAATAATTATAATGAAATAGGTAATGTTTTGTAAATCATTCAATGCTTGATGGGATTCTTTATGTTATCTTTTTTAATCTTTAAAATAATTCCAGGAATGGATATTATAATCTCCCTTTAGTGGATGAAAAACTGAAGCTCAGTGCTGTTAATAGCTTGCCAGTGCTATTTGATGCTGGGCAGAGGGTGGAACCAGGATTTCAAGAGGCTCCACAGCCCAGCTCTTCTTCCTACACAGAGCTATCTCACGTGTTCTTTGCTACAGGAATCCACAAGAGAATCCAGTAGCTTTGTCCTTGTCCAACCTTATTCCTTTCTATAAAAGTGTGCAATTCCCTCTACCAGGAATATGAAAGTTAATATTTGGAGAAAGTTTGTTAACTATTTCAGGACGTGCTTGAAAGGGTGTGTTTTTTGGTGGTTGTAATACACGAGCTTCTCCTGTGGAAATATTCTGTGTCTTCCTTTTTTTAAAGATGCTGAAATGAAGCATAGGAACTTGAAACATCCTTGCATTTTCATTGAAAAGCAAGGAAGAATTAATATAACTTTCTGTGACATTGAGTTACTTTCAAAATAGCTTTAAAAAAGTTAAGTTGCTTACCAACCTATTAAGGTCTCTCACCATAATCAGCACACCAGCACTAGTATCAGAAATTGACTAAATGTAATATATTTAGCAATGGTGTCTCTCTGGAGACTAAGGTGTGCCTGATACAGGCCATGGTCTTTGCAATCATTTGTTATGCATCAGAGAGTTGGGCAATGACTAGGTAGGAAGGATAGAAGGAGAATTGATGCCTTTGAGCTGTGGTGCTAGAGAAGAGTATTGAATGTACCATGGACTGCCAAGAAAACAAACAGATTAAACCAGGGTACTCCTTGGAGGCAAGGATTCTGGGGCTTTGTCTGACATACTTTGGACATGTTGCAAGGAGAGACAGGTCTTTGGAGAGGGATATCATGCTGGGTAGAATAGAGGGACAGCGCAGGAGGGGAAGACCCTCTATGAGGTGGATTGATTCAGTGACTGGGGTAATCAGGATGGATGTGTCAGAGGCAGTGCGATTGGCACAAGATAGAGCAGGATTTAGAGCTGTTGTACATAGGGTCACTATGAGTCGCAAACGACTCGAGGGCACATAAGCATACATTTAAATGTTTGATCATGAATTGCTTTAGCATCACATATTATTTGTGGTTTGGAATCAAGGGAGCCTATAGTTATTTACAATGTTACTAATAGCCTCCTAGCTTCAAAGTCAAGATTGCTTGTTATTTTCTTAGCAGTGTGGTGAAAAATGTCTTTTTATACAGTATGGGTAAATATGAAATAGTACGTACAAGAACACTGGCTGTATGACAGAATAAAGGAATCACAAATCTAATAGACCATTGTGACAGCAGCAGTGGGCTTGCTCATGACCGAGGACGTGAGGATGGTGCAGGATAGACCAAGGTTTCCCTCTGTTGTTTACAAGGTTGCTATGAGTCATAGTTGATTCAAAGGACCCTGACAGTATCAACAGTAGAACCTTAGCCGAAAGAGCTTTTCGCTTGTGACATAAACTTCAGAATACCCATTGTTGTCAAATTGATGGCCACTTAAAGTGACCCTATAGGGACAAAACAGTACTGCCCATAGGGTTTCAGAAACTGTAAATCTGTATGGAAGCAAACTGCTCCGTCTTTGTCTTGTGGAGTGACTGGTGGATTCAAACTACCAACCTTTTGGTTAATAGTCAAGTGCTTTATGCACCCCATCTGGAATGCTAAATGAAGATGGAAGCCAATAGCAATACTTTTATTGGACACTAAGAAAGCCTTTGGTACAATCATATGGGGCTATTTGTATTTTATGTTAGGTAAATTTGGCTTTGGGGACAGATATAATAGATAGCACAATTTGTTTGTAACCCATTAGTGTGATTCAAATCAATAGTTTACAGTCTTGCCTCCTTGCCTTATTGCTGCATAAGGGGATGAAGTAAGGGTGATTCCCATTACATTACTGCTGCTGTTCTTCATGTTGACATTGGAGGAATAGTATTACCCAGCTCCCATGGGTATCTGAAGGGTCTTCAGATGTAGGTTCACAAGTGAACTAATGTATGCTGATCATTTCCTACTTGTACTGAAAGTGCTAACAGCATCAGTCCTGAAAATACTAAAAGTAATGTCAAATTTGGAATGCCCTCTGCCTGCAGAGTAAAAGAGAAAGAATGAGAAATACTTTTCTTGACAACATAGTTTCCATTAATACTAATTTCCTATGACATTAACATAAAACATAAATTTTAGAAAGTTAATTTGGGGTTCTTATTATATAAGGAGTCACTAAAAATATAGTAATTTTTTTTCAAAATTGACCTGATTCAATGCTGATTTTTTAAAAATCAGCATTATTTATATAGTAAGTTTCACTATATAAAGCAGGACAAAAGATTGGTAGCGATAACATCTCTTTAAAATGTAGTTAACTAATTCATAAATTAACTCTGTATCTTTCTGTAACTTTTCACTAATTAAAATGTCATTTTCTTTGTCTTGTCAGGCCATATAGTCATGTTGAGACCCAGAGGAAGCATATGCTACCTTAGAAAAAGGACTGTTTGCCACATTGGAAGCTTTCTAATGGCACACATCATGACTCAATTAAGGTTGCTATGGCTTGTCAAAAAGAATTTTCCACTGCATATTGGTTTGGAAGAGCCCATTGCACACAAATAACTGTACAACCTAGGAGAATCAACAAAGAGCCTATTGCAAAATAGGAAACAAAACAATAGCACCTAGCTTTCCCTAGATTTTAAGAACAAGTAAGGATAAAATCACAGATGATAGAAAGAATGGACCAAGAGAGAGAAACATTGGCCAAAAGAGAAAAGAGGGTCACGTTCTGATTATCATTATAGAAAAGATCTTTCATTTACTTATCGAAATGAGTTTTAAACAGCCTTTCGGAAATGTTGAAACTTTTTCTGCCTCTGACTTTGCAATGAAGAGTTTTTGTGGTGTAAGAGGTAAAACGTTAGATTGCTAATCAAAAGTTCATCAGTTTGAATCTACTGGCTGCTCCTTGGAGGGAAGATGATGCACTTTCTTCCCATTAAGATTTACAGTCTTAGAAATCTGATGGAATTAACTCAACATCAGTAGCTTTGGTTTGAGTATTACTGGAGTAAGTGGTGGGTAAATGAGAGGATTGGGTTGATTGAGGAATTAATAGTTAGGATTACCATGGGCACATAACT